GTTTACAGTCTTTGGGTTACAGGTCTGTAAGTAGCTCTCACAAAAGAGACCTTCAGAAGGATCTGCATCTATGAATGCCAATTCAGTCTGTTTGCATCATCTGCTTCATGAACAGATGTTGATTCTGTATTACCGCCTTAAATAATGCATAGACAGCATCTTAATGATCTGAGAAGGCATGAGAGTTTTACGATTTGGATAGAAAGTAATATTTCCATCCACTTCAGCAAACAATCCCAAAATGTATCCTGATGTTTCTCAAAATAATGTTTTTAAAGGGATAGTTCAAACAAAAATGAAAATTCTGTCATTATTTGCTCACCCTCATGTCATTCCATATCTGTTTGACTCTCTTTCTAATATAATTTGAAGAATTTGAAGGCATTTATGGTTTTGGATCGTTTAGTTTTGTAGTTGCAAGGGGTGAAATCCTCATTTGGGAAAACGATGTAGTTATAATTAGCATTACATGAAAACAACAGAAGACTACACTATGGTACAGTATGTCCCCATTTTAGATAAATGTGTGTGTGGGTGTACAGACTTGACAACTAAAAGTCGGTGCTACAAGGAGGAACATTAGGAGAAGGATGTCTCATTTGCACTCATTGCAACACATCTGCTATCAGCGGGAATAATCAACAGATGCGATAAGACACCCATCAACAATTCTCAGCAGACACATTCACACACACACATACAGATGAACTCACTGTGATGACTAAACTGCAGGCTGCTGGCAACGACACTAAAACGCCCATCTTTGAGCTTTGGGGGGAGGACCTGTAACGTAAATAGCACAATAAGATACAGAAGGACATAGAAATTATGCTAAACATAAAGGAGACTCTTTCGAATGACAGAGGAAAAACAGATACATATTATCATGAGCTTCATTAATTAAGTAAAAGGAAGATCTTTTAAATGTGAACTCCCAGGCCTGTATTGCACAAACTTTCTGTATCTAGAATCTTATCTGTTTACCATGATGATTCAATTTAGGATCTCATTTTAGACAAAAGTTATTACTGAACTTAAGGAAGTTTCTGTAATATGGCTCTGAAAGCAGTATCTGAGTCTACACTATCTCAAGCACAAAAATCAAGCAAAGAGGAAAAGTGATTTCCAAAGGTTGAATGGCATGTCTTGTGTGTTGTCAGGGTTTAAAATAATACCATTACAGTTTCCGCTTACAGCATATAAGGGCAGCCAGCACGACCTCTGTTCTTTCAGCTCTCATCATTCTTGGCCAAGTCAGAAAACTATTTCAAAGCTTCCTGTCAACAGCATCTCTCAGCACAAGTGCAAGAGGGCAAATGGCACTATGTAAGGGCATTTTCTAACATCTATACACATCATTGCCAGCAACCAGTCTCATTAAACACCTCCCTGGTTTTAGATAACTTTAAACGACAACCATCAATCACTCAGTCTGATGGGAGAGACAACCTGTCCACTCTCTTCCCATTTTTCTATTGTTTCTGTGGTTAAGACACACTAATGGTTAATATTATATTACTATTCCTCTGAACTGGTATGCTTCAACTAGGGGTGAGAAGACAAGCAAGACAGCTGACATTACGTTTAGGGTTAGGGTTTAGCTCAGGTGAATCTGTGAATCACAGTGAACTGTAGAGGTCATTAAACAATCATATCTTGGCGTTGTCCCTGAGTGTAGCATCCAATTCGCGCTGAATAGCCTTTTTGGACCATAAAATGTAAGAATAAAGCTTTTCTTTACTCCAATTAACGCGTTTTCCGTTATTGAATGCCATTTAAGTCTCCTCTCAAACACCGAAAAAAAAATACAGCGCGTAAACGTTTCTCTGACCGAGCAAGTGAACATTTATTGAGGGAAATTATGTCCGGTTTTTGCTTGGTTGTTTGTCGCTGAAACTGGACGTGACGTTCTAGCACCCTTTCAAAATTATGAGAGCAAAACGCTGCTTTGGGCCATTACTAATGCAGTTACGAAACCTTCTCAATTAAGTGCTGTCATTCAGATTGTGTTATCAGACGCTGTACAGAAAGTCCCATCATAACACATCATGTGCCCAGATGATGCACCATTCCAGATGGGGATTCTGTTTTATAGCTGTCAGCACACAATCATTTTCTCATTATATAAACAGCAGGGATTTATCTCATAAACCAATACTGGTATGGTTCACCTGAATATTTAGGTGTCACTGCTTTGGGAGTCTATGCACCACACACGTAAATATTCCTGGTGGAAATTATCAGGGCTTATGTTTGTCGCTGAAACTGGACGTGACGTTCTAGCACCCTTTCAAAATTATGAGAGCAAAACGCTGCTTTGGGCCATTACTAATGCAGTTACGAAACCTTCTCAATTAAGTGCTGTCATTCAGATTGTGTTATCAGACGCTGTACAGAAAGTCCCATCATAACACATCATGTGCCCAGATGATGCACCATTCCAGATGGGGATTCTGTCTTATAGCTGTCAGCACACAATCATTTTCTCATTATATAAACAGCAGGGATTTATCTCATAAACCAATATTGGTATGGTTCACCTGAATATTTAGGTGTCACTGCTTTGGGAGTCTATGCACCACACACGTAAATATTCCTGGTGGAAATTATCAGGGCTTAGTAGCAGTTAGTAGAAAGTTATCATTTGATTTCATTATTAACTGAGAAAAGATTTATCTTTCGACAATGTCTTTTGTGCCTCTCAGGATTCAAATTTAAAGCCGTACTTATCTTACCTTCACTCCAACTTGACACGCAGACCAATATAATGTCAGTCACTGCCCTTGTTCAGTTCCTGTGATAGAGGTGAATGTGTGAGAAGACAAAGACATGGGGGTAAAAACATGGACACTACAATTGATATTTGAGAGCCCTTTGTCTAATCTCCAGAGGCGGACAGTAACTAAGTACATTTACTTGAGTATTGTACTTAAGTACACCTTTTGAGTATCTGTACTTTACTTGAGTATTATTTTTTCTGGGAACTTATGACTTTAACTTCACTACATTTGAAAGACAAATATTGTATAGGTTTTTAACATTCTAAAAGCTCTTTATTCCAAAGATGCTAGTCAGTGTATTCAGTAGGTGTAATGTATTGTAAGTTGCTTCAGAAGTATTGCAAGTACTACGTACAATAATAAAACAGTGCATTGACATAAAAAAGGAAATTTACTTTTGGTACTTAAGTACTTTTAAAAGCAAGTACTTCTGTACTTTTACTTAAGTAAAAATCTGTCTTTACAACTTTTACTTGTAATGGAGTAATATTTGACCAGCAGTATCTGTACTTTCACTCAAGTAATGGAGTTGAGTACTTTGTCAGCCTCTGCTAATCTCCACAGTGCCATCAGCCAGAAGAGGTCATGTCTGGCTAATATGAGGCATAGCCTAAATATATATATTTTTTTTATTATTGTGGTGTGTGGCACTCAGTGACTAGAATTAAATCTTGTGCATTTGCTCAAGCACTTCCTCATACCTTATATTGAGCTGACGACTGCAACGCAAAAAATAAGTCATGTTTTGCGAGTACATGTGCAAATTCTGACTGTGGTTTAGTGGATTAGCTCCCTCATATGATTTCTGGGGAGGTGAGGGTTGGTATAGCTGGAGGAGAACTGACTGCAGACTGAGGAGAAAAGGGAACACACCTACACACAGACACACACACATATCCCAGACCCTACCTCACTTCAGATGTCTTGCTTCACAGACAGAGAAAAAAACACCCAACTCAAGTTTGTGTCTGTTTGTTGTAGGGATGAGACAACAGAACAGTGAGAGAGAAAAGGGACACAGAGAGATTTAACCTTAATTATCCTTATGAGCAGAGACATCTTATGAGAGGCTGTGAGTAATGCTCTAACCGTCCACTGGATTTGAATAATATCTCCTGGAGCAGGCCTCCCAAAACCCCTAGAAAAACAAAAATACAAAGGACTGCAATCCTACTGTCACGGAAACACCTGCCTCACCAGCCGAATCAGCCTCCTACACCCGCTCACAATCACCCGATTACTAATCACGGACACCTGCACCCACTTACCACACCAGTCAAATACACACTCACCTCAGTCACTCATCGGCTGGTCTCGAGGTTACAAGCATCTCAACTCGGGTTCTTCTCCTGCCTGCCTAAAGCCTAGGATTCTTCTGCTCTCGACCAAGGAACTTGTATTCGACACCAGATAAGACTGTGTTCTCAGCTTCCAGTTATTCTAAGTTGATTCCTTTCTGTTGGAAGCATTTTCTCCGTTGTGTTAAATAAACACTAATCCTTTGAAATACTCTGCCTGTTTGCCTCCTTGTCCCGGATGTGACACCTACAGACAACTGAGGTCACTTTGCTGCATGCAGCTGGCAGGAAACTTTCTGATTCAATCCAGCATTCCATTTAAAAAAAACGGAGGTCTCACACATTAGTTTGAAGTGGAAACTAAAGCATCGTGGCATGAATCAATACATGTTGTCAAAGAAAAAAAAAAACTTGATCAAATTAAAATAGGAGATTTTCTATATATATATATATATATATATATGCTTTATGTTCTGAAAACTGATCCAAAAATGTTGATGACTCATCCTGCAATATGCAACTTTGTCCAATAAAATGCTCTTTACATTGACAATGTACCTTCACTTAACAGTAACATGTTGGAATGATTTATATATTTCTGTTGTAACACATATCCTCAAATATCTCAAATGATGGCTAAATAGTAATAAATCATTTATCACAGCTTAATGTAGCTATCTATTCCTATAATAAAAGTAATTTAATTTACTTGGGAGATTCATCAAGTGTTTATTTATTTGTTTTTTTTAATCACATCACATTGTCATTGTGTTTGTGCTTAAGTTCCAGCACTCATTTTATCTCATGGCGGCTATGTGATAAAATATATAAATACATTTTTTAACTAGAAAAAAACTTGGAAACCATACAAGGATCTAATTAATTTTAATTTAATTTCATCTGTAAAGTATGTAATAAATTGACATTTAGTACTTAGTTTGAATGTATAGGAACAATAATATTCCGGAACTACTCTTGCAGTGTCTTCTGGGAAACAATATCCGCCACTCTGAGACAGGCTGTCCTTCAGAGCTGCTCAAATCAATCCTGACAGTAACCATTTAAATAAAGAATCACAGAGGAAGATAACCTGACAGTGAAAGGTGACTCTGCATGCTAATCTTACAAACTGAATTCACTTGTTACAAAATAAATCTTATCTTAATATATTTTCAAAAAGGACAGGCAATGCAATATTCTTAATAAAATGAAGAGTAATATTAGAATGAGTGACTGCTTATTTGATTGCTATGAAATTTTGGTCGGTCAGATCACTTCCTCTTGCCCCCACTCTTACGTCCACTTGACTGGACCGCAGTAGGGTTTTTCTCTAGCTCAACCTGTTCGACTGTTTCCTTAGGTGGCTCTTCCATTTTCTTATGTGACTGCTCCTTTAGGATGCGGGAACAGAATGCCTCACGAGCCTGCAGCATCTTTTGCCGATATGCATCCATTGTGTCCTATAACAGGAAATCAAATGGGTTTTTTTCTAATGACTTCTCTGCTATGGTACAAATACCAACAATAAAAACAATGATTTTGTGTGGTGTAAATCTGCATTTATAGTATCGACACATGACAAACCTGAAAGCCAATGTAAGTCTCTAGCTGTCGTTTCATCATTTCCTTGCGTGCAATTTTTTCCTGATTACGCTGTTCCAGAATATTGTCCCAGATCAGGCGGAAACTTTGGAACTTCTCAGAGCGTTCCCTCCTCTGCTCCTCCTCCAACACTTCATCCTTCAGACGAGGCTGCGGCAAAGACTTCCTTCAAACAAAAAGAGAGTGAAACTATGAGAGAAAGCGAAGATCATATACATTACCGTTCAAAAGTTTGGGGTCTTTTTTTTTTTTACTTTTTTTAAGCAAGGAGCCTTTTCAACATTGATAATAATAAGAAATGTTTTCTAAGTACCAAATCAGCATTAGAATGGTATCTGAAAGCTTTGCCATCACAGGAAATAATTACATTTTAAAATGTATTAAAATAAAATATAAAACGGTTATTTGAAATTGTAATGTCACAATATTACTGTTATTACTGTTATTTTGATCAAATAAATGCTTCCTTGATTAACATTAAAAAATATATATATTTTTTAATATTATCAACCCCAAACTTTTGAACTTTTATAATATAATATAATATAATATAATATAATATAATTGTGGTACCTGATAAATGGTGTATAATCAATATCATTTTTGTCAGTATTCTGTATGAACTCTCCACTCTGTTGGGGCTGAGGTTGATTGTCTACAAAATACAAACATTGAAAATATTAAGTCATATAATAAATATGCCCATATAAAACTGTATTAAACAATCTGGATGTGTGTATCTTTGTGTTTAACCTGTCTCAGCCGTGACAGGCTCTTTACTCTCTGCATGTTCTTGCAGCTCTTTGAGATAGTGCAGCCGAGACTGATGAGCCTTCAAAACAAACCAATCAGATACACATGCAGGATTGTTTGAGCACACAGAGCAGATTTACTTCTACCTTTCAGTTATGTGGTACCTTTGCTGCTCTGCCGGGCTCAGCTGCTTCCCAGGCCAGTTTCATGGCTCTGATCTCCTCTAGTTTCTCAGTGTCTTTCTTCACCTCTATACTTCCTGCCTCACTGTGGTCACTCACTACACGCAGGGTCCAGTGGGGCTTACTCTCATCCAAACTCTGCACACACAAATAAACAAGCTGACATTTACAGTACTGTTCAAAAGTTTGGGGTCGTTAAGATTAAAAGAAGTCTCTTAAACACCATTTATTTGATCAAAAATAGAGTAAAAAAAAACATAATACTGTAAAATATTATTACAATTTAAAATAACCATTTGCTTGTTAAATATATTTTAAAATTTAATTTATTTCTCTGATGGCAAAGCTGAATTTTCAGCAGCCATTAATCCAGTCTTCAGTGTCACATGATCCTTCGGAAATCATTTTAATGTGCCATTTTAATGCTCAAGAAACATTTCTTACTATTATCAATGCTGAGAACAATTGCTTAATCATTTTGTGAAAACCATGCTACATTTTTTTCAAGATTCTTTCATTCTTTCAGAAATAAAAAGTTCAAAATAACAGTATTTATTTGAAATAGAAATTTTTTTTTTAACAGTATAATCGACTTTACTGTTACTTTTGATCAAATTTGCTGAATCAAAAAAAAAATCTATATAAATATAAAAAACTGACCTCAAACTTTTGAACAGTAGTGTATACTTACAACTCATCCTTTTAAAATTTTGAAAATATAAAGTCTCTTTCTTACATTTCTGACAAAGAGGCACTGTATCAGAGCTTAACCTGAAATGTCCTCAAATGTATAAATTTAAACATTATATCCTGATCCATTCCAAGGTTAAAAAAAACTTGAACTTAAGAGAAATGTGCACGTCTGTAAAGCACAATGAACAATATTCACGAAAGAAGCTCTTTCTACAGGAGAATATGGGGGCGAATGATTTAAACGGTGGGATTCGATACTGACATTAAAATAAATGCACAAACACACATATACTATACTGACTTGCTCCATAATGGAGCTTGACTTAGATGTTAGTTTATCTTTGTCCTTGTCTCGTTCCTTGGCCTTTTGGGTTGATTTGGGAGCAGATTTCTGGCCCTCTTTGTTTTGTTGGTCTGTACCCAAAGGCGTGGATGTGCTATCCAAAATATCCCCAAACACTGCCAAAGAAAAATAGATGTAATACAGACAAGATGATACAGAATGAAAAAAATACAGAGGTCTTCAATCAAAAGTGAGCCAAAAGTATCTCTATAAAATAAAATTAATAATAAAATGACTTTTATTCTGAATACATGATTAACACATTTATTTAAATACAAGATTTCTTTTTAAATATGTATGTAATTTGTCAATATTTATATTAACAAGTAAGTTCATATTAATAAGTAAATGAAAATAATTTTATAATAAGTACAAAATTAGTACTAAATATATATTTATAAAATGTTTATAATAAGTAAATGTATATGAATAAGCAAGCCATTTCTAGGTTGGTAAAAACTTGGCATTGGCTCAACCAGTTGTCATTTATTTTAAAAACAGTAATTATTTATAAAAATTAGAATGCTGTAACACAAAAATAACACTTAAAACCTTTAAAGTAAAGTGTTTTATTCAAAGCCTCCTGAGGCTTTTAGAAATGTAAATGCAGATGTAGATCCTGCTAGATGGCAGTGTTGCTCTATTTAAAAAACAGAACTAAATCTCTTTCACCTTCTTCAGTTATTCTATGTGTAAGGGTACATCCTACTGGACAGTTTACTTATCCATAAGGACACCATCACAGAACCCTGATTACTGATTTAATCTGAAGTCACACTGTGCTCTCTGACAGCACAGTGTTACCAACATGTCACTTAGTCTCAACTCACTCGTTGTATATCAAACTCACTGAGAATATGAGACTGAACCAGTATAACAGAGAGCTATTTTGGGTCTTTGAGTGTGGATTGTCTATTGCTTGTTAACAATTATGCTCAGATTAAATGTAAAATAGAGTCATCAGCAGGGATGTTATTTGTACTTAATTAAAGAGAGGTTTTATTTTTTTAATTTAAGGTTAAATTTATTTGTATTGATTTTTTACATGATATGCGAATACAACAGAACCCTGCACAAACCTCAGACACAGGGCATTGAAAGCAAGCATAAAGGGCAGCCATACTGCATGCCTTCTATATGTGCCGATGAACATCCGGCAGAGTTCAGTGCACTGGGCCTGGTTCCCATGTGCATTTATTGATTGGTGTGTGTGTAGTAACTGTTCAGGGTGGCTCCTGCTCCTCTGAGAGCCACTCAAATGGGTTAATTCAATTCACTTTCCTCCAGAAATACTTCCCAGGGCACCAGAGGCCAAGAGCCAACTTCATTTGACTTCCCATTGACCCATTTACACAAGCTTATCGGGAAATGAAACGAGAGACACGTGTGGATTGTGACGTACACGCTTGCGAAAGTACAGTGAGCACACGTGGATCTACACACACTCACACCAGTGATAAAAGCCCAATCCGAGGCATTTAACCACCTAGATTCATTTTAATTATGGATTCACAATCAAACAAAAAAAGAAAAAACAAAACAAAACAAGGAATACATTTAATATCAAGGGATCAGGAGGACAAAAGAATCTTAATATTATGACTGGAGCCAGGCCATCATGCAAACTAGTTAATCTCCACTACCACTTCACAATACACAAGCATCCAATAGACTAGCTCTCTTTTTTCCTCTCCCTCCTTCTCAATCCTTTCCATTTCCATTTCTATGAGCTTCCTGCTTATTCATTTTTCCTCAATAAAATCAAGGTTGTTTTCAGCTCTTCCACTGAGCTGACCCACAGCAAATGACCTTATGTCACCCGTCCAAGGGCAAAGCAAATCGCATCTCCCTATTAACCACAAGCAGATGAATTTAGTAGGCTTCCATTATATTTTTGACGGCCAGCTCTCAGTTAATCAAAAGAAGCACAGGTGGGACGAGAGTCAGCCTATTCAGTATGCTTCAGACTGAATGAGAAAACATGAGCAGAGATTCAAATCACATACAGCCAGATGAGTCTGGGACAAGGATTGAAATAAATAAATAAATAAAAATCTATTACGAAGACAAAAACAAGCAGTGAAAAATGCTTTAATTAAAGATAAAAAAGTTATATTCAAATATAAAAAAAATGTTTTAAAACAAAAACAAGAGTTTTAAATTCTTAATGTTAACTGCTAATAGCAATCAAAACTAAATAGAATGGCAGATAAAATTACTTCCATTTTTTCATTTAATTACATTTTCCAAGCCTAGCTTCTATTACCAAAAAAATAACAAAAACAAGCAGTGATAAATGCTTTCATTAAAGATAAAAAATTCTATTAAAAAAAAAAAATAAATAAAAACAAGAGTTTTAAATTTTTAAAAACTAAATTAATATTTTAATATTTTAATATTTTAATTTAATACTTTTTAAAAACTAAATTAATAATTTAATAAATTTTCCAAGCCTGGCTTCTACTACTAAAAAACAAAAACAAAAAACAAGATTTTAGAATCTTGTTTTGCTGATACAAACAATCTCCAAAACGTGAGATTCGATGGCATGAAACTTCAGCAGGCAGTTGTTTGCCAAACTGAGTGGATCCAGTCTGAATCATCAGGGCTGGATCAACCAGCAAAGGCACATTTTTAGCACATTTCGCTGTCAAAAAGTACTGCAGTATCCTGTATTGTCCAATCTTTATGGTAATTTTATGATGCATTCTTATAAAGTGTTGCATCTGTCATCCTTTCTGTCATTGGTCCAATTTGTGTCGCTGTTATAATCAATGAAAACTAAATAGAAATGTAAAAATTAGTCACTAAAACTTTGTTTTTAATCAATGAAGGACGATATGTGTCCAATACACTGCATTATTCACTTAGCATCTTCTGTATGACTGACCGTACCTCTCATTTCATTGCGCTCTATGTCTCTGAGTTTCTGGATGAAGGAGGAGAGAGATTCATGTAAAGGCCAGCTCTCCTGTAACACCTCCGTCTGTATATAATACTTATGAAACTGCAGACACATACACGCAATTATAAAACATCAGAAAGAAACATCAGTGAATGAACATAAAGGGCATGTAAACTATATGAGATCAGCAATCCACATACAAACAGACTGGTTTCAATATATAAACACAATCAGAAAAAAATTTATTCTTTCTTAGAACTTTGTAACTAGAAGTTCAGATGCTACCACACACACACACACACACACACACACACAGAAGTGTCTGTGGTGACAGGTACCAGTGTGTCTGTAGGGTGCTGGTCACTCCCTTCCTTTCCTTCGCCCCCTCCTGTCACTTTCCCTTCTGCTATAAGGCTGCCCTGATCCTGCCTCGCCCCTGCCTGGGCCACAGAACCGCCTGCAACCAATACACACACACACATACAGACACAAATGAATACCCTATAAATACACTCTAGAGCTGGCAGAGTCAGGCTGTAGCTAAGTAACTGAGACAGTGACTTTATATAGTGAATATGTGTTAAGACAAAATGTGGAGTGGGTGGACAAGAACACTTGGACTAAAGGAAAAGAAAGGAGTACAAACTATACCTTAGTTTTTGTGAGTCTACAGGAACATCACAGTCTGTGGATGACAGACTATCTGTGATTTGTTCGAAATATGTGCATACGTAAATGTGTCTGTTTAAAAATGCCTGCAGCAGTTGCATCAAAATTATTAAAATAATTTGACAGTAAGGGAATAAATATTTTTCTTAGTTTTATCTATGAATTATAATTAATTTCAAGTTTAAGTTGATCAATTATGAATTACTGTTCATATCTATTTCTTTATCATTTATAATCTAAAAAAAAACTAATCTGTAGAATGCAAAGACATTCATACCATTTTTAAGTGTTTAAATTTTCCAATAACTTTTTGGGGCCGCTATAAATATACTACCATTAAAAAAATTACTTATTTATTTGAAAGAAATACTTTTATTCAGCAAGGATTCATTAAATTGAGGCAGTAAAGACATTTAATTTGACAAAACAGGATAGTGTGTTTTGCAGCATCTTGCACATGATACAGCATTTTAAAAACATGGAGCTTAAATTAAAACAAGTTCTTAAAAAAAAATAGCAGCATTTTGACGCCTTGCGTTTTTTCCCCATACCACTGCCCACATCTTGAATTTTCAAAGCAAAAATTAATCCTGTTTGATTGGCCCCAAAGACACAAAATACAAAAAATTTCCAAACTTATAATGTATAGACAGACAGACAGACATGGTGTGTTCAAGTCATGTCGGATAGATCACATTTACGAGTTGAATGCACATGAACGCAACCACAAAGTCGTAATTATGAGTGGGAAACTCAACAATTTCTTTAAGCCCTGAGTTGGCGTGTCAGTGAGAAAACATATTGGATGGAATGGACGCAGCCAAAGACTATAGATATGCAGCGTCTGTAAAATTTGACGGTAAATTTGTTGAAATTAATAAAATTATAACTTTTTTGTAATGTTAAATAAAACTATAGAAGTTACATACAGAATACAAAATATCATATTATTGTATAATTACCACAGAATATACATTAAGTTTACATCACCTTCATAAGTTGTATAAAACAGAAAAAAAAAAGCAAAAACAAAATTATGCACATTTTTATTCATCATTTTGTAGACGTAGAGTTAAAAAATCGTTGAATTTTATGTAGAGAAGTTTTATGTAGAAAAGCCATCCTGTTCCGACCAAAGTGACTTGAACACACCTGATGTCGTAATTAAGACTTGTCAACCCGTAAATACGAACGTCCCAGGAGGACGAAGAATGAAGCAACAGACAGACAGACAGATAGATAGACAGATAGATGTTTGTGTGTGTGTGTGTACAAACCATTGCTGGCTAAAAAGCAGTAGACTGGAATGATGACATGCCCTTTGCCCTGACTGCTGACGACCTCTTTCTCATGATCTAGGATACTGAGTTTAATGTGGACGTCTGATTTTGAAGTCTGAAACTGCACAGTAGCACTGTGATCACTGGAGACTTTCACCACATGCCTGGCAGGGGAAAAAACACACAGTTTAGATCAGTCTTGATGCAACAACTGATTGTCCAGCTCTGCAGTGCTTTCAATATAACTTCAACGTAATAATAATAAGCTATTACTTAGTACACTTTATGCATGTGCTAACCTGCAGATGATGTCCTTTTGATTAGGGATGTAGTAACCTTTCAACTCTTTTACAGAAAAGTTATTGCTTGGTGTTTCTCTGGCCAGCTGTGGCAGGGGTTCCCGGCAGCCAATAAGAAACATTCGCCATTTTCCTCCAATCACAGGCGTGTCTCCAGTCTGCGCCTCAGCTACAAATGTATAACCCTCCTATAGAGTGTGAAGAAGACATACAATATAAAAAATTAATGTATAAGTTTATAAAAAAAAATGGGAGAGGAGTTGTCCTACTGACAGAGACGAACCTTGTTTGGGGTGTATATGTATGGCTCCACCCTGTTAAAGACTTTGGGTATCTCCTCTAAAGTGTCATTATTGATGACATGCACAATACATACAGGAAGAGGGGAGAAGATCTTAGGAACAAGCAGCATGTTCTTAGGAACATGAAACACCTCCCTGGAAATGAGAATAGACAAGAAAAATCACTTAAGCATAAGAATTAGAAATCGCTGAAAATTACAAGCAAACTTTGAGTTCAAAGTTTGTATTTCTTAATAAAAATGTATTTTTTAGTAAACTATTGGTTTGCTAAAAGTGTAAAATAAGTGTTCCTGACCTGAAGATCAGAATCCAGGAGTTCGCTACCTCTGGTATGGGCACTGAATAGTCAGTGAACGTTATTCTGTTGCACTCATCCTCTCCACAGGGGTACAGCTCTGCTATTCCTTCACCATTAGCAACCAT